AGTATACCGGGTCGAGGTCCCAGACTCATGTCCAGACTTTGAGGGTCGCTCCGCATCCGGATTTGAACCCAAATTGCATAGTCGCGTTGAGAGTTTGAGTCTGGAATGTCTGGACATCAGTCGCGCCGTGGACATGAGTCGCGAAAGTCTGGACATACCAAAACTTGGTCGCGAAAATCTGGACATGGGTTGCGTAGGTCTGGAAATACCAAAATTTGGTCGCGAAAAGCTGGACATGGGTCGCGAAAGTCTGTGTCCAGAATTTTGCGACCCACGGCGCGACTCATGTCTAGACTTTCCAGATCTTATTTCCAGACTTTAAAGACTCAAACTCTCGGCTCGTCTATGCAATTTGGGTCTGGATCCGGATGCGGCGCGACTATTGCAGATAGGGCGCGACTTTTGCGACCAAGGCGGAGACAGAGCAACTCCTCAGACTAAGACGGGGACGGCGCGACTTTGCATCCGCCTTGGTCTGGAAAGTCTCGCCGTCTCCTTCTCGATCGCGAGGAATTGATTCTTGGTCGCGCCTTCTCCGTCTTGGTCTGGAAAGTCGCGACGTCTGCGCCTTGGTTTGGAAGGTCTCGTAGTATGCGCCTTGGTCTGGGCCGTGTCCACTCTGATCGCTTAAGTCGTGTCACATCCACCCGGGTCGAGTGAGAGAGAGAGTATGTGTGTGTGCGTGTGTTTTGTAGGGAGGACAGACTGCGTGAGTTGCGGAAGCAGGCGGAGGAGAAGAAGCAGCTGCAGGACAGGATGGAGAGGAGGAACATGCAGAGATCGGCGGCTGCCAATGCAGCTGCCAATGCCACTGGCGCCAATGCTGCAGGGGCTTCCGGGGCACAGCAGACATCACAGGACAACCACAACCAGGAACAGTCCTCGGCCAGCGGCGAGAAAAGTAAGGAAACTCACTATCCACACACTCTTCATTACCTCTCTTACAGTTGAAGTCTAGGACACTGGCTATATAGGAAGTTCAGCACACGTGAAACTCAGGCTACACTATTGTTTTGTATTTGAATTGAGACGATGAAAATTAATTAGGCGTGAAAAGTGGATGTAGCAAAAAATCGACACTGTGATATCACCGAGTAGATTTCTGCTACATCCACTTTTCATATTTAATTTGCCTATAGTATTATCATTATCTTTCAAATGGTATAAATATAGTCAGCAAAATATATACCCATCCATGAAATGACAGGTACTGGTTAGGATTGCTTTGCAGTAACTTTTGTTTATTAGAGAAACTTTGTTCATGCTTTATTGGAATAACTGAAAATTTGTGTTGTTTTAGAAAATTGTATTTCTAGAGAAGGACTGTCAGCCTTTCTTGTTCCTTCTCAGATTTTGAGATAGATTCTTGCGAAGTCTGTGTTGTGATTTCATCTTTGGCGTATATTATATGTTGTGTTGTGCTGTGTGTAGGCGGGGCTGATGGGGGAGTGGGTGGGGGAGAGGGAGAGGGGGAGGATAGTGAGTTACCAGGAGGCATTTGTGCGGATGAAGGAGGCTACGGGGGTGAGTGAAGTGGAGGAGGTGGTGGACAGGTTCCGCACTCAGGACGACACCTTCCACAACCTCCAGCAGCAGAAGAGCACCAATGCCCAACTCATAGACACCCTCTCCCAGGAGGTACTCACTCATGTCATCACACTCTAGTTCAGTCCAAGTGAAAAACAAACAAACAAAAACTTTTAACCAACTGATAAGTCTTCCCCAAATTGATTTAGCGAGGAGATTGTTCTTTGGTCTTTACTTCTTCCTATAGACTGGAAATTTTGTATACTTTGCGTATGGTAGCGTATTAATAAAAGCAAATGCTTGCCTCATATTGGAGTGAATTTTGCCATTCACGCTTTAGTAGGACGAACTGTATGATGCCTTGATTAGCCAATTTGATTTATAGCGGAAAAAGTAGTCCCAGATTCATCCCTCCAATTATAAGAACAATAGAACAATTGGTTGGAGTTAAAGTTCTTTTTGAATTTGATCTTTACACATCAATATTTTTCTGTTAATTTCAAAAAATATTCGCCAAAAATGGCCAAATGAATTGTCCAAAATTGAATAGAGCAATTAAAAACACCCACAGCACAAGTTTTTCTATCACTTGTTTGAAATTCGGAACAAAGTGAGCCTAGTTTGCATCAAGTGGCGCCTATTCTTCTTGCAACTTTCGAAGAAAGTAACAAAACGTTTGTGCTCGGGTGTTTTTTTCCGTCAAAACTCGGCATTTTATTAGTTTATGTTCGTTGGATTACTTTAATAGAATAAAATGATAACTATTGATGACTTGAGCTCAAAATAAAAAACACTATTCGAAATAAGACCAATATTAGAAAAATATGGGTTTCAATTTCACCAAATTGGGATAATAACGGGCGATATTTTGCGTTCTTGTAAAGCCTAAGTATTGAAATATATCTTTCAAGTTTGAATCGAGGGAAAATTTTAATCCAATTTGCTCTAATCAATTTGTTAATGGAGGCAAACAAGTTTGCTTGTATATCAGGGCAAGGCCCTGAATGTTCCGACTGTCCGTTAAATCATATCGAATAGTTTTTGGAAAAAGAAACATCGAAAACTTATAAATTTTGGACAATATCACGTGTCAAAGTTTAAGTCGTGCAAAAGTTATACGACCAATTAGCTAGCCTCAATTCAAATTGGAACAATTTTGTTTTGCGGAAAAATTGCCACGCATAAACGATTCGCGTCACGAACAAACAACATTAAGAATAAACCCTTCAAAGCGCTCTTAATATAGTCCAGAAACATGCCAATTTGCCAATTTTCAACTCCCCAGAATTTTACAAAAAAAATTCAAGTAAATTATCTTTTTAAGTTTGAACTTAAAAAGCCGATATCTTCAATGGAGTTTAAAAATGTTTTATTGAAAACTATTATTTCGATCGGCAAAAATTGACTGAATAAAAAAAATCAAACCGAGTATATATATTCCGTTTTCTTCTAAAGTCGGAACAAAAAATCTTTTTGTATTCACATAGTGTCTGGGGTATAAAATGAAGAAAAACAAAAACCTTTTCAATTTTTTTTCAAAAACTCATCAAATGTTAATTTAAAAAATTGCTTTTCAAATGTATGCTACGAAAAGTCAAAGTAAAAAAAATCGAGCAATCTTGTTGAATTTCATTTTCACAGAAATGAGTCTGAATAGAGTGTTTGATTTTTTTCCAAGGCAAAGAATATATGAAACCATTTTTCAAAAAAAGAAATAAAGGGTCGTAAGACTAAAACAACAAATTTTATTCAAAAACTATAGGCAAAAATTATTTAAAATTTTAGGCAAAAACTGTTGTCAAGAATTTAAGGCAAGTTTTAGGCAAAAAAAATTTTAAGCAAATCTTATTTAAATTTTTTTATAAGATCTGTAATTAATCTTGAATATTGACGGTACTAGTTGAATGTTTGCGGACTTTAGTAGGACGAACTGTATGATGCCTTGATTAGCCAATTTGATTTATAGCGGAAAAAGTAGTCCCAGATTCATCCCTCCAATTATAAGAACAATAGAACAATTGGTTGGAGTTAAAGTTCTTTTTGAATTTGATCTTTACACATCAATATTTTTCTGTTAATTTCAAAAAATATTCGCCAAAAATGGCCAAATGAATTGTCCAAAATTGAATAGAGCAATTAAAAACACCCACAGCACAAGTTTTTCTATCACTTGTTTGAAATTCGGAACAAAGTGAGCCTGGTTTTTCCCGAATTGAGCATGGTTTTTCTGCTTCAATGTCGTCTTCATTTAGTGTTACCACTAATTTTGGTTGAAAAAACAAAAAAAATTGCATCGGAATAAAACTGTTTCAACAGTGTTTGACTGTTCAAAAATATTAGACTAATGCCAACCAGGGGTGTAGAAATTTTTTGTCAAATATGCTGAAAAGAAATTTATGTAAAGCAAATTTGGAGCGTGTCTTTATTTAACTTGCGAGATAAATTTTGTTCAACGTAGATCAACGATTAACAGTCGATGTTTTTTGGAAAAAGGTTAGAAAATAAATTTTTTATATCCCTGATCACAGGGTTCAACTTAGAATCATATTACAAACCAATTGGTCTAAGCTGCAGTTTAAAAAAGACAACGCCTCAACTGCTCTGAGTTTAGGGGTCAGCCTATCGAACAGGAAAAAATGCGTTTTAATTAATGTTACTTCACAAACAAGCTGAGTTACTCGTGTTACATTAAGATAAGTTTTTATGCAGTATTAAGCATTCTATCTTCTGTTGGTGAATCATCAGTGTTGTGGTTGTGTGTTAGGTGGCGCGTGCGAAGGAGGAGTGCGAAGCCATGAAGTACAGGGGGGAGACTAAACTGTCGCAGGGGGAGAGGACCCTGGAGGAGAGTGAGTCACACCTGCAGGCGGAGCAGGAGAGGAAGCAGACTCTGGAGCAGAGACTCACAGACACTGCCAAGGTACTCGTCAGTGTCCGAGCAGGAGTCGAACACCTCTCCATCAAACTCGCTCCACTCAAAGGTACATCCTACTTACCCCCCACTGCACTATGGCTTATTTTGACACAAAAACAAAACTTCGAAAAAATTGAGAGTTTCAAAAATATGAGTTCAAATGCGTTGTTATTTGTCCTTAATGTCGCTTCTTTTGCAAATTTTTAAGTCGAGTAAATGCTCCGGATACTAGTCATGTATTTATTAAAATCATAGAACCAAGTTTTTGTTTACGTTTCCGATAAGCAATGATTTTGTAAAAAAAAATATAAATACGTTTCCTCGTTAGGAAATTTGTTTACAGAAACTGCACGTGAAACGGCGTTGCATTTGCTTTAACTTGGTTTTTATTTAATTCAAAGTTAACACCCATCAGCAGGTTCTTTGAAACGACAAATGACCAGATTTGCAGTCTGACCGGGACCTCTTTTTTAAAGCATATTGTATATAGTTCTCGGTCAAAGAGAGTGAGTCAGACCATTCGGAGGGCTTTGTGATTCTTTTGGTTTCTTTCGGGCTACAAGCTAACAGGCGCTGTTTCTTTCAATCTGAGTAAAAATCATTTGAAAACTATTTGATCGTTTTGTACATGCTGATATGTACAGTCATGGGTCATACAGGTAACACATTTCAGCTTCCAAGCAATGAAATGAAACGAACTACTGCCGTTTTGTCAAAAATTACGAAAGATTCACTGTTAAAGTGTTAACATGTGACGGAGGAAACTGTTCTCTAAAAATTAGCCGGAGAAAAAATCCACAAAAATTTGTTTTGACACTTCCCTTTCCTATTTAAAAAAGAAACAAAACTTTACTGAGCTACAAAACAAATGAACTCAGGTCTTAGCATATTCCCGAATTGCTGAATTTTTAGTCAACCTAGGAGCTTAACAAAAATTTATATTTCTTATGAGAGGGCCTAGCATAGATCCCCAAGTTTCCAACTAATAAAATTAACTTCAAAGCTTTAAAGAGCTTCCGCTGTGTACGGGGACTTTGTTGGAACTCTAATTAAATGGCCAAGTGACGCTGTGATAGCAATTTTTCTCCAGATATATTCTAGAAAGCAGTTTAACCAATCATATGTCAATTCTGTTTCAATTCAACCAAGAATATTAATTTTTTTTAACGAAAAACGGCAGACGAGTCAAGAAAACATGGCTCATATCATAGGAAAAAAAAATTTGTCTCGTGACTGTGTGCACATATACCCGGTTTGACAAAAATGCCTTTCATACAATTTCATGCTATGAAAACATGCTTATCATGCTATTTCATAGACCAAAAAAACAGTATGAAAGTTGTATGAGAAGCCTTTTTTTCCATACTATGAAATTGTATGATATGCATTTTTTTCACAGATGAAAATACAATAATTTTTTGTTTCAGTTTTTTATGTTTCATCTGAATCATACTAACCAAGGATTTCCGGTCAAAAAAAGCATGAATGTAACCGGCAGTTTTCAAGCATATAAACTGCATTTAGTGATATAAGTTATGGTTAACATTTTCACACGGAGTTATATACCAAAAACGTAACTTTTTGTTTATGACTACAAAAAATTTCTAACTAAAAATTTTCTAGCCATATACAAAAAGCTACGTTTTTGGTAAATAATTCTGTGTGAAAATGTTAAAATTAACTTATATGACTAATATCACTGAAAGCAGTTTATCTGCGTGAAAACTGAGAATGCAGTTTATCTGCGTGAAAACTGAGTGACTGAGAAAAAAGGCATGTTTCTTTTTGCAAATTTATAATCATCTCAGCATATGAAACTATTTAAAATAATTATGTTTATATAAACTTTACTTAAATGAGATTTTTTGGTTTTGTGTGTGAAAAACTCAATCTGGACTACGTTATAGACAATAAAAGTCAAATTTTGCCAATTTTTGTTCCTCGTGTTTGTTCCTCGTAATGCTTATACAATTTTTGAGTGAGTTTTTTCTTCAAAATTTTTTTTTGACGCCGCAGTTGCTCTCATGTTAGCAAAACTGCCACCAAATTGTTTTGTTTGAGTTTTAAACTATTTTTAGATAAATCCGAAAACAAATCGATTGGAAAAACTTTCGTCATACAATTTTCTTCTATGAAAATTGTATGACAAGCTTTTTTCTATGAGCTCCACATACGAAACTGTTTTATAGACATTTTTTTTGTTTGGACGTTTACCCGGGTTTATATATTCAGTTTTTTTGAGAATGTTTTTTTTTTAAACTTAAATCTATTTTTTTTGTTTCGCTGGTTTCTGTCTGCACTATGGCATTTTTGGACAGCTCAATTTCTGGTTTATTAGTCTTCAAACGCTCTGTCTAACTTGAATTGATTGCCTTGAAACGACTGCTTTGAAACGACTAAAAAATGAGGTTTTACAAAATTAGTTCTACTCTTTTTGGTCTTCACAATTTTTTTGAAAAATATTTTATGTTGTGATTCAATATTTTTAGTATGTTATAACCTTGACCTCTATTATCTAATTACGTACCAGTCAATGTTAACTCTACGAAGTCCAGTGGACTTCGAGTCACGAGTTGCTCTTTTTAGACTACAGTCGGTTTTAATTCAACCAATACTTTTATTCTCTTTTAACTTAGTTAGATATAATAGCTACCAGTGGTACATCTTAACTCTTTATTATGGCGCAGTCAACAACTGATTCGAACTTGAGGGGAATACCCGCCTTTTGGCCGAACCACACGGTTGAACCCCCCACCCAATGGAACAATTGGATAGACCAATTCCATTTGGCCATTATCGCGAAGGAAAATCTACGTAGACTTAGACAACCTTAAAGAACCAATGGAAGGGGAGACGACGTTACCGATCCTAGAAGGTGCGCAGGAGTCAGAAACTGACCAACAGAGGAAAGCCAGGGAGGCCAGGAACAAAGAAACAATGCGAGTGTAAGAACACGCTGAAGAGAAAAGACTAGCAGAAGAAAAGAGGAAATTCGGAGGAATGAGGAGATACGAGGCCGATAAAAAAGTAAGGTCAATCCTATACTTGGCCTTAGGAGCGGAAGGCAAAAGAGTTTTCGCCCAGAAACATCCAAGGGTAAAAATCCTACGAATCTCATTCAAGGAATTTTACGAAATGCTAGAATTGGCTTTTATCAAACCAACCAATATAACATTTGAACGATACAAACTATTGAGCAGGAAACAAAAGGATAGAGAATCCTATGAACAATTTTGGGGCGCGTTATCAGACTTGGCGAGATCATGTGAAATTGGAATTAATGCAGAACAGGAGTGGATTAGAGACGTATTTATTTTTAACATGAAAAACTGCGACTTACAACGTAGACTACTTTCAGAAACTCTCAATCCATTGGATGCACTAAACCAAGCAATAATTGACGAAAAAGGCTACTATAACCACCTCAAACTGACCAACATGACGAGATCTTTCAACACGACAGGAAATACTGGGAGAGGGTACAAAAACTTCAACAACGTTAAAAAGGAACCAAGCTTAAACATAGAAAGATCAAATACTTGTATGAAATGCGGGAATGCGTTTACCAAGGGTCATCTGAATGTGTGTCCGGCGAAAGAAATCGTGTGTAATATTTGTAAATATAAAGGACATTTTGGAAAACTTTGTAAATCGAAAGGAAGAAAACCCGCTGTAAATACTGTAGATGAAGCTGTAAATAGTCAGAATTGTTCATATTCCCCAGAAGATCTTCAGATGAGAAGCGAAGAAAATTTTTGTGGAGTGATTAACGCTTGGACCGAAGAGGGGATAAGTGATAACGATGACTATTCAGTCCTCAACATTAGAACAATCTACGATACCAATGGCTTGGAAACAAAGAAACTTGTCAACATCGGTTTAGGAGACGACGCGATAGTCAACTTGAACATTCCAGTGGATTCGGCAAGCCCAGTGAGCTTCCTGAAACAAAATGTACTTCACGAATTGAAGCTGAGAAATCCACAGTTGAAGATTCAGCCAGTTGAGAAGAAAACGAGGGAACTATACTGCGGATTCACTAACGACACAATCAACATCATCGGGAAGGTGGTAGTGAGGTTACAATCCAATGGATGGACCGCGGACGAAACTCCATTTTTTATCACTTCTGGACATGAGAGGAACATTCTGGGTAACGACAATCCCCCGAGAATTGGAATAGAGATAGCCCAACGACAGCCTCTACTACCCGTCAACAACATATCACGCCCAGAATTGTGTAAATTAAATAATTATTCAGATACGACCCTTAATCTGTATCATAGGTACAAAGGGCTATTTAACAGAGTGGGAAAAATACCTTCGGACAGAAAAGTTACTCATTTCCATTCCCCATTCAAACCTATCCTAACCAAAGGTAGAAGAGTTCCCTTACATCTACTCGAAAACGGAACTAAATAGAATGGAAAAAGAGGGGCATATCATAAAGTTGAACAAATGCGACGAAGATTGTTTTATAAGCCCAATTGTGATTACAAGAAAAAAAGACGGTAGTATCAAGTTGGCACTAGACTCGAAACTATTAAATAATCAGATATTCAAGAACAAGTACCAGATGCCAAACATACATGAACTGATCGATAATATTGCTCTTCAACTGTCAAGCAAAGATTCAGGGGAAGTTTGGTTTAGTAATCTAGATCTAAAGAACGCTTACAGCCAACTACAATTATGCACAGACACTAGCAAACAGTGTAACTTTAGTATCGTGGGGGGCGAAACCACTGGAACCTACAGGTTTTTAACTGGATTTTACGGATTGGGCGATATGCCAAACGAATTCCAGAGGGTAATGGATTCTTTACTGAAAAACATTCCTTTTACAAATTGTTATATCGACGACATTTTAATAGCTTCGAAAGGTTCATTAAATGAACACAAAGCGATACTAACTAACATTTTAAACATTTTGGACAACAAGAACATGGCGGTAAAATGGGAGAAATGTGCATTCTTCCAAAAAGAAATAGAGTGGCTAGGTTTCAAGATATCAAAATTGGGCGTGAAACCATTGGTGGGAAAGTCAGATTCGATTAAAAACCTACCAAACCCCAAAAACATATCTGAACTTAGGTCTTTCTTTGGATCGATCAATCAATATATGAAATTCGTCCCGAATTTGTCCGCCCTAAGTTCCCCCCTACGACCACTTCTTGTAAAGAAATCAGTCTACCAATGGAATGACGAACATACTAAAGCATTTGAAGAATTAAAACAACAGATAGTGAAGATAACAGAGAACAACCACTTCGACATAAAAAGGATGTCAAGACTAAAAACAGACGCTTCCCATAACGGCTTAGGAGCTACCCTAGAACAATGGGATGGAGAAAATTGGGTAACAATAGCATTCGCCTCCCGATTTTTGTACAACCACGAAAGTAAATATTCTACAAATGAACTTGAGTTGTTGGGAGTAGTCTGGGCTACAGAACATTTTAAAAATTACTTGTATGGTGCCGAATTTGAAATTGTGACGGACCATAAGGCATTATTATCAGCATTAAATGCAAACCAGAGCAACAAAACTATGCATAGCAGATTAACCCGTTGGGTAAATCGACTGTTACCATTTAATTTTAAGATCAAGCACATTCCGGGAAAAGAAATGGGATTTACAGATTTACTGTCGAGACTACCTTCAGGTAAAGCACTCCCTACATCACACTACGATAGCGAATTTGTAGTGGCGACAGTACAAAAGATTAAAGAAAACCTCTCTGTAAATAACGATTGTAAAAAGAATAATTGTAAAAAGAACGAAGTGTATTATCCATTGGATGTAAATACGATTAGTAACTTGAATTGCAATAATCCAATGGGTGGAAAGAAAGATTTATCACAAAGCATCCAACGGTCGTTCTTCTCGAATATTCTGAATTACGTAAACGACACTATCAGAATTTGTAATTCCAATCACTCGCGTTCAGAGTCTTGCACAAGCGGTTGTGTTCCTTTAAACTTATCAAAATTTGATTTCAATTATTTTTACCTATCAGACAAAACTTTTTTTATTTTTTCTTGCCCAATCAGTATTATTATTCAATCAGTCATTAAATTCAGATCAAGAAAAACAATTACAAGAATTTATTACATCAGTCAACTTGTTAAAAATTTCCCTCAGGGCAGAAAAGAAAGGAATTTTCTTGAATTTTAATAACGACATAATGTCAGACATACACAAAAAACTGTTGGCCAAATACAAGGGAGATCTCAGATTGCCAGACAACCCGTTATCATTATCAGACCATTGTTCGAATAAGCTGATTAAACTCATGACGGACGAAGACAAAATCCTCAAAGAAGTAAAGAAGGCGGTACACGAAGGCAAACCATTGGACAAATTCGGAGCCTACTTAAAGAACTTCCAGAGGGATATACATGTGAAAGAAGAGCTGTTATTCAACGATAACAAACTGATAGTGCCGGCTGCATTACGATCACCTTTCCTGTCACTCCTTCACGAGACTCATCCAGGGCAGTTTGGGATGAAAGCCTTGGCAGAAAACATTTGGTGGCCACATCTATACAGAGAGATATACCATCATGGAAAGAATTGCACTCAGTGCATAATGGCCGGTAAGAACCTAAAAGTTTTACAAGGGACGAACAAGACTGAGAAATTACCGAACCTGACCGAACCAAATGAAGAAGTAGATTTAGACTTTGCCGGCCCATTGGACAAGAGCTGGGGTAACGCAAAATATCTCTTGTTATGCATCGACCGCTTTTCAAAGTTCCCGTCGGCGAAGGTAGTAAACAACACTTCGACTTCTTCAATTTTAACCTTCATGACAGATTACTGCCATCTTCACGGATTTCCAAAGTCCATTAGAGCCGACCATGGGTCATGTTTTACTTCGTTTGATTTTAGAAACTTCTGTGAGAAGAACAACATTAATCTAATTCTATGTACGGTTGGCGATCATAGATCCAATGGAGTAGTAGAAAGACTCATTTTCACGGTCAAAGCTAAGCTTCTGGCAATGTCGTTCAACGATCCAAAACCATCCTTAAATACGGCTATTGATAAAATTATTTGGAACATACGCTCGACGAAACAATCATCCATTGGATGCTCTCCGTTCTCAAAACATTTTAATAGATCTCCCAATACGTTCTGGAAATCTTTGGTCTCTCACGCAATTAGTTTAGATAAGGGGAAATCAATCATATCGAAGGACAGAGCACAAGACTGGGGGGCTGATGACGCGTTTGAAGATGGCTACCTGGAAGACAGAACAATTGAGGAAAGAGGCTATGAGAGCGACCCTCTAACAAAGTAGATAGAAACCTTCAGCGAGCCCCACTGTCGAATCCCTTCAGCCATGGAGGTAACTGGTTTAGGAAAACAGTTAACAGGAGGGAAGGAGAACCTTATTTTAAACCTTTAGGGAGTAAACCTTTGTCAGACACGAAACATACGGTCACAGTAGATAACGGACATGTGATAAGAAAATCGGACTTAGCTTTTAACAAAACCCAACCGGCAGCTCCTAAGACCTTCACGGCAAGACCGAAACCGCTAATTAATAGTAATGATTTAGCAGGCAAGCGAAAAAGAAACTCCCCTTGCAAGAGACGAGACTCAAATATAGGAGGCCCATTGATGAACTCCACACCAACGGGTGGAAATTCAAGCAAAAAGAGGAGATCATTCTTCACGAACTCGAAAGGTTCAAAATTCGACTATAATAATCTAGATTCGTCGTTAACGTTAGACCTTTGGGATAAAGTCATTGACGACTACTTGGGTACGGAAACGGAAATGGTATATAATACACCAACTGTTAACCTACATAGTGATTTAGATCAACCAAGGAGTACCATACAAAGCCAGACAAACACTGAGACAACATTCAATATACCAACGGGCACAAGCGACGACCCAATTCGAGTGGATAGCTCTCCGGAGAAGACAGTGGAGACACCAAAAACCCCGATATCTTCAAAACATCGTGTAAGAAGAAACCCAGGCCCCCCGAAATTCTTTGGCGAGAGACGGTTCATCGACCAAGTGACACTCGGTACGGAGACCATTAGTGCAGTAGACTCCGATGACGAACCAATTATTACGTTTTCCGGTGCAAAGAGCCCGAAACAAATTCCTTCATTCTGTACGACGTCTCCCTCGGATTATCTTACACCCATTGACGAGATCCCACGTCATACGATTTTGGTTGCTGAAACCACTCAAGACGAATTCTCAACACCTTCCTCTCAGGCGACAAGGACCGCATGGGTATCGCCACCATTGGCAGAAGGGACCAGTAATACTCAGGATGAAATCGATAGCGACATATCCTCGGGCATCGATACCGATGTAAGAATAGAGGCAGATAATTTCCATACTAGATACAACTCTACGGTCTCAAACTCTGAAAACTTTTAAACTGTGGTAACACGACATGTTACGTATTTGACTTAGCTTTTATCCATTGGATACCCAGAACTTTTTTTTTATTATTTACCTAGTTAGTGAGTTAGTTAGTTTGCTTTAATTGTACAAATGCTACATAACCCCAATTGTGCATATCATTTTGTACATTCAGTGTTGATATCTGTGTAAACCTGTAAGTAGCCTGAATATATTACCATATAATTACCTCCATTGTAATTTTTACTCTCTGTAAAAATCCATTGGTGCTAAATGCGGTTACGTTTTGTTTCTTCTTTGGCCCTGGTGGAGCGAGGGGAGATGGAGTATATGTGTGATATTGGCTACATCGTTGAGCGGGCAGATATTAATTTTTGTGCACTGGGGAATGTTGTGATTCAGTATTTTTAGTATGTTATAACCTTGACCTCTATTATCTAATTACGTACCAGTCAATGTTAACTCTACGAAGTCCAGTGGACTTCGAGTCACGAGTTGCTCTTTTTAGACTACAGTCGGTTTTAATTCAACCAATACTTTTATTCTCTTTTAACTTAGTTAGATATAATAGCTACCAGTGGTACATCTTAACTCTTTATTATTTTAGTGTGTTTTTTTTCTTTGTCCAACTACATCGTACTGTCTGCCTTTGATTAGCGGGTTTATTTCAAACTAATAGCTTTATTCAGGGGCAGATCTAGGATTTTCTCAAAGGGAGGGGCGGATTTTTCGGAAATTTTATCGACCTTTTTTTAGATCGACCAAATTGTTTTTCCGTGCACTCCCAGAACACTATGAAGACCCTTTTTTGACAAAAATTTTGCGCCGCATTCGTCGCAAGTTTAGTTTCGGAGTATGGTAGAACAGTTTTTCTCGATGATTGGACAAAACTGATTTTATCTTTTTTAAAACAAAATAAAAAGGTTTTCATGCTTAAGCAAGATAGCCTCCATTTTCGAAGATTCTTCCAAGATAACCTCAATCTTGCAAGATAACCCTATTTTGCAATAATCTTGCAAGATCTTGCAAGATAACCTCCCTTGATCGAATAGGGTTGTTTTCACTGAAAAGATTTTTACTTTTTTCAATTTAAAAGTTTTTCCAAAAAAGTACATGGCAATGATCGGTTGCTATTTTTTGATTTTAGTTTTTGATTCAACTTTACAAAAAATGCTAAGTTGTTATATAATGATTTTAGCAGGGTTGATCATTTTTTATCGCCAGGGATACTAAAGCTCATTTTTGCCTCTGTGTGTAATTTGGACTTTCAGCTTTCCTTTAAGGAGGTGTAACTGATAAAACCCGACATATGTACATCTGCACACGTGGCTCACAAGTACACGTTCTCAAAATGGTATAAAACGAAAAAGGCAATGATTCTCATTATGGAAAAATCATATCCGATCAGCAGAGCGTTGGCTTGAGAAACAGCCATGCGACTATTGAGGTACTTTTCCGTAGTGTTATTCACTGCAGTATTGTCAGTGAGTGAGTGTGTGTTGTGTGTGTTGTAGGGAGCAAGAGTCAGGAGCCGAAGCAGTCGGCGTCTGTGGAGGAGGAGGACTATGTGCTGGACACTCTCATGGACTGCGAGGACAAACTGCAGAGACTGTTGCAGGACCTGGGGGACAGTGCAGGGGCCACAGCCACAGGGGAGGGAGAGGGCGAGGGCGAGGGGGAGGGGGAGCAGGCAGCAGGAGGGGGAGTGAGGAGGATGGAGCAGCTGGAGAGGGAGATCATGGCACAGCAAACTGCCTCTGGACAGCCGGACTACACTCAGGTACACTCACTACCCCCACTCTGGACAATTGCCCAGTTTCAAACAAGATTTGAGGTGTTCGTGCCATTGTTGTTTGATAAACAGATTACGCTTCAATAAATGTTGCTGTAGAATGAACAGTTTGACCAGTCTTAGATTGTTTTTTTTTCTAAATAAAAACGCAATCTTGAGCAAATTTTTCAAAAAACCATTCAAAGTCGGACCAAGATTTGTAGACGCTCCATTTTGCCCTTCAGTATCATTCCATCATTCTTAGAAATTTTTTACCCGACAGAACTTTAAGTTTTTTGAAAGTTTGAAAGTTCTTACGGTGATTGTGCTGTTCATCCGCTCGCATTTGTTCCGCATGTTCAGTTTTTCAATCAATATTCTTTAGATGAAGTTTGTGTTTGTGTTTGCATTATTTGCATTTTGTTCAGATGGCGGAGGAGAGGCTGCCGCAGTACAACACTAGAGTGGTCATCTCCTCCTCCAACAAAGACGGGGGTGTGGGCAGTGGAGGAGGGGGACTGTACGAGGAGGGGGAGAGTGGGGAGGACGAGGAGTGTCCCAACAGGGAACAGATCAAGAAGAGGAGCGAGGACCTCGTCAACTCAAAGGTAACACAACGCGACACGACACGACACGACACGACACGCGACACGACGTTGCACACTCACCATTACCAGCTCGATCAATCAATATGAACCAATAAATCTCAAACAATTAACAAGGAGAGCCGGTTGCTGTGCATGCAGCACAGAATGTTCCAACCACGTTCATAAAAAATAAATGATTTTGTTTTTCAATTTTTTCTCCAAATTCGAGTTTTTTTGTGGGTGGTATGATGAGAAAACTATACAACACGTATAAATTTAGCGGTTTAGGCAAAATTGACAACAGCTATCTTCAAAAAAAAAAGAAAAAAAAACACGATTTTTTTTGCACAATAATGTTTGAAAGGAAACGCTAAATGAAGCTTCTACAACTAGTTTTTCTTTTAGTAAAGTAAACTTTTTCAGCTGAATTGACTATGAACCCTCAATTTTATATATTCAACGAACGTTACTCGATCGCGCTGCTCGCCCGAACTTAGACCAGAAATCAAAAATTTTAAATAAGTTTTTCTCGACACTAAGAAAAGTTCTCAAAATTTTTCAGTGTCGTCTGAATCATGACTGAAAGGGCTTTTTATGATATATCACTAGACCAATTCCGATGATTACAGCGCTGATTTAAATTATGCGGACTAAAAGCATTAAACAGGAAAATATAAAACTAGTATTTCTCGAATTCAGTTGAGCTTATGTATAAAAAGATGAAGACAAAACTTGCTTAGGATTTCAGCAGGAATAATATGATGTAATTTGTTTTGCAAAATTCGGGCCCCTAAAAACTGTATGTTTTGGTTGCCTTTGATTCTGTTGTTTGTTGCAGACGAAGAGACGCCAGCCGAAGAAGAAGAAGAACGCAGCCAAGAAGTAGGATGGAGGCCACTGTGCTTCATCATCTGCTGCTGGACACACACTTAGCCTCAGAACTGTATGATCATATGATCACAGAGTTACTGACACTAAACCACACTTAAAGAAAGATCAGATGACCAACAGATCTGTTCGAAAACTTTCCCTTACAGTCGCTAATGACCTAATTCATGGCCCAGTGGATTCGAATTATGTCTATTATCTTCAAGTGTTTGTATCTGAAACAGTTGCTACGAAGTTATCCAAATTAAAATGTTACAGCATAACTTTGTTTTTCTGTAACATGAGTTTCAATGGACGACGTGACGACACTTTTGTAGGCGTGGAGTTTTTGTTTCGTTTTTCATCAAAAGTTTTAAAATTAATCATGCTTCATCTTGATTTTTTGCGGGTTGACATTTGATGTCTTTTTCAGCTCAATTCAAACTCATTTGGTAGAAGTGAGGCACACTACGCTTTCCATTGAAAAAAAAACGGTAATGGTCCGAATAAAATGTGAATAGTTTTTGCTTTCGAAAGTAGATTTAGGTTGTAGACTTCCCTTGTGAATGAAAAATGGGATCTTATGACGCAGTTTCTGTAATCTGGGACAACTTAACGAAAAATTTGTCAATTATTACTTATCCTTGTTCCGACTTTCGAAGAAAGTGACAAAATATTTGTGCTCGGGGTTGTTTTTTTCTTCAGACAAACTTTACTAGTTTAACAAGCCTCTAGCCTCTTTTGACGGATTTTCTTAACATCATCTAAGAAATATTGTTGCCTTCAACTCAAATTTAAAATGATTTTTATTGTTCCGACTCTCGATGAAAACGGATAACTTATGCTCGGTGTGTTTTTTTATTCAATAAGTTTTTGCGGATCAAAATAATAGTTTTCAACAAAAACTGATTATATACCATTGAAGGTTTTGACTACTTGAGTTCAAATATAAAAAGTTATTTTACCTCCGATAACTTTTTGTAAAGTTTTGATTGTTTGAAATTTGCCAAATTGGCCATGTTCTGGACTAAATTATGCGCGGTTTGAAAACTTTTTTTCATAATGCTGAGAGCGTAAAGCGAATTTTTTATGCTGAAAATATCGTTTTTGAAAGCGTTTTTTATTCGGTACTTATAAGTGGGGCTAAAGAAATAGCCTGGTGGAGTTTTTGTATGTTTTTTAAAATAAAAAGTTGACGACCAAGTATTTTGAAGTAATTAGAGGGCGTTTCATTGTTGTTGGGGTGCTATTGTTATAGCCTAGATTTATTTTTTATAATTAGTGGTGATACCTCTGGTTGATTTTTTAAAGAAGATAACCTGATATATTTAACTTCTGCGCATTCAAACTGACAACATTTTAAAAAAACTGCGATAAATGAAACTACCGGTTGAACGTAGTTTCAAAAAAAAACAACTCCGTTGAAAGACGACTTTAAAAATTTCAGATATAGTTTCAAAGTTCGTTTGTACATGGTTCAGCAGGGGCGGATCTAGGATTTTCTCGAGGGCGGGGCGGATTTAAAAAAAAAATCGAAAATTTTGACGACCTTTTTTTTTTAGGTCGACCAAATTGATTTTTCGAGTTCTCCCAAAGCACTGTTTTGCCCTGTATAGGCAAATGTTTGAAAAAACAGTCAAAAAAATCGTTTTTGGGCACTTTTTGAAAAATTTTGACAAAAAAGTGCGTTTTTTGGCGCGCGCTCCCCCTCAAAGTTAGTATATATTGGCGCCTAAGGCGCCTTAAGAAAAATTTTAGGGTCGGTCGGCCAAAAATGGATTTCTGAAAAAGTATCAAAGGGGGACCCTTTGGGTCGGCAGGGGGTCGAATCCCTGAGGAGGAGGGCGTCCGCCCCCCCCCCCCCCCGCTCCCCCTCCCTAAATCCGCCCCTGTGGTTCAGTATGGTTTTTTTTCGCATTTTGTGACCGAGATTTCGAAAGCTTGAAAATAGCAGTGATTTTAAATAACCAAGGTTTTTGCACAAAAAAAATTAGTTTGAATACGAACACAAGTAAAAAGAATCAATCTATTATATACACCTATAGTTTATTCTTTAAAAAAATTTGCTTTCAAAAGTTTTCTCTTCCTTCATTTTTATTATATTCATTTGAAATTTGTATGGCTTTTTTTTGTTCAGCCTCATCAATTGATCAGTTTTCTCTTCCATCTAGTAGTGGTCTCTCTGGTTCACAACCCAGTTCAAACGTATCTTTGACATACGAAAGTATAGTTAGGGTGCACAATTCATTGTAAAAAACACCTTTTTAAAAGCAAAATTTATGTTATTTTTATGTTCTTAACTTTCTTCCTATTTTATGGTTCGCTGCTATTAAAAATTTTGATCATCATACCTCTTATGATCTTGTTAACAGTTTTCTTACTTTTCAAAACTTTTATGATAAAAATTTAATTAGACACTTTGATGCAATGAAACTGACACAAATTTTCATGCATTTATTGAGCAAGAAGATTTTTCAAGACTTCGCCCAAACTTTCAGTGCACGTCAAAGTTTCATTTAAATTGCCACATACGAAAAATTTTCAACTTACGACCAACAACTGCAACAATGGACAACTAAAAAAAGAAAGACATCACAAGAGTGGTTGGCAAAGTTTACCACGATAATAAGGCGAAAAAAACTCTAAGGTCAGCCAACTTTGAGAAAACAAATTTAAAGCCACGGCGAGTTTTTTGATTTTTTAAAAACAAAGAGAAGAAAAGTTAATTGCTGAAACAAACCCGCAGTGGCAAGAACTCCGCCAAATTAGACGCTAAAAAAGAGAAAATTTGAAATTGAAAAAAAAAATAGAACAAGAGTCTCTCAGCAAAAACTGGCCGAAAACCTAGATTAGATGTCTGTCAGTCACTTATTTTTTGCAACTTGCAAAAGCTGAAAAATAAATATGGGAAGCGAGAGAAGTGCCAAATTTGACAAAAACTGTCAAGCAGAAAATTGTTGTCGAAGTTGTAAAAAACAATGAAAATTATTTCTTTCTTAGTGGCGAAAACATGCCCGGAAACGCTGGTTTTTGTAGCCGAAGTGTCACTGATGTATGATTCTTCAAGAAAAAAATTCCGACCAGAGTGATGGTGTGGGCAGCAATTTGTCCCCGAGGAGAGAGTTCTGTCCACGTGGTGAAAGCAAAGTCTGTCAACGGTGAACTCTATTTGGGATACTCAAAAAGCATCTATTGGCGGTTATAAAATTAAATTCCTCATCGAAAAATTAATGTGCTCTTCTGGCCGGATTTGATGTCCAGTCACTACTCGAAAGCAGTGATAGAATGGCTGAGAAGCAAAAGTCTTCGTTTTGTGGTTAAAAATGAAAATCCCTCAAATACGCCTCAAGTACGCCCAACTGAAAATATCACGGAAAGTATGACTAGAATCTAAGTGCCAAAAGAGGAGTGCCACAAACTTTTTGAGGGCTACCATTCCGAAAAATGACCAATAATGGTCTAAAAATAATAACCTTTTAAACTCAGAAGACATAAAAGATTTATTTATATATTCTGTTAAAAAATCAACACTGTAGCTTCTTTTAGTTGATGAGTAATTGTGTTTTTAATTTTGTTCAATTTCATTGCATCACCGCTGAAAGTCTTACTTGCATATGCAAATGTGGTACAAATAAGATAAATTTTAGGGAATCTAACAAAAATTAGGTCTATTTTTTGTCCGCTCTGCTTCAGTGTTTTTTATCTGACTTGTTGATTCGAAAAATGCCAAAAATACTTCTTACTCTTTGTGATATTGAGCGAAAGATCTCATCGCAATAAAAACAAAAAACAACTGTGGGCTATGACAAACTCGAAATTATAAAAATTAAACCATCTTAATACATAATGGAATCTCTGAGCCTGTTTTATAAGCTCCGCAAAGTTTTTTAGTTCGAAGAAAATGACAAAATAGTAGTGTTCGTCGTTTTTTCCAGCACACATTTTTCAAGTTTTTGAGTGAAAAACTTTGACAGTATTTCTTACATCATTCGGAAAGATTTGTTGTCTTAAGCTCAAACTTAAAAAGACATTTTACCTATTTTTTTTCTGTGAATTTACGGGGGCTTAAAGATTGCCAATTTGGTCAATTTAGGACAATTCACGCCCAATTTATTTCGTACTTTAACGCGTAAGCGGAGAACTAATATGTCTTAGAAATTGTTTCAAATTGAATTGGGGCATGCAATTTCGTCTATTTAAAACTTCGTCATAAGCGATGGACGGTTTTCAAAAAAAAATTATACTTTTTTTCATTTTGCGAGATGTTTATCGATTTTTTCAAGAAAATGCTACTCCACAGACCTTAAAAGGCAGTCAGAAAATTTAGGGTTTTTTCCTGGTATGAGCAGTTTTGTTTTAGTTTTAATTATCTTGATGGAACAAATCCTGCAAACATGTGCGTTGACTCGTGGGGTACGACTCGCTCATTAGAGTAACTTCAGATTAGATCTGTTTGTTATGCTGTCCAAATTTTGTCCGGATAGTTAAGAGCATACATTTAGACCAATACTGATCTTAGTTTCTCAAAAGACCGTAGCAAATACTGGAAAAACGATTAGTTTGGATCAACGTTCTTTGGTATTTTCTATAAATGGTCTGACTGCAAACATCAAGAATTTGCAATAATAAAATTATAATAATTATTGTAATTTTCCACGAAGTACAAAAAATTTTGCAATCATATTCTGTACAAAAAATCTAAGGCTTCAAGCGTTAACTTAAATGAAACTCCGATCGGGTTGAACGTGGTTTCATTGATCATACTAGTCATGCTTAATCTTGATTTTTCGCGGGTTGACATTTGATGTCAATTTAAACTCATTTGGTGAAAGTGAGGCACACTACGCTTTCCAATGAAAAAAACGGTAATGATACCAAAAAAAGGTGATTGGTTTTTGGTTTCGAAAGTAGATTTTGCTTTCCTAAAGCTAAAGTGAACGATAAAAGCTATTATATGACGCAGGTTGTACAATCTGGGGTAATTTAACAAAAGTTTGTCAATTATTACATATTTTTTTGTTCCGGCTTTCGAAAAAAAAGTTGTCCTCGGGTGTTTTTTTCAGACAAATGCGAATTTTAAATTATCTTTTTTTGACGAAAATTTTTTTATATCATTTAAAAAGTATTGTTGCCCTGAACTCATGTTTAAATTGATGTTGATTGTTCCGACTTTGAAAAAAAGGGACTATTTAAGCACGGTGCGGTTTTTTTTTTCAGTCAAATTTCGGCGATCGAAATAATAGTTTTCAACAAAAACTTATTATATCCCATTGAAGATATTGACTTCTTGAGTTCAAATACAAAAAAAAAGTTTTACCTCTGATTATTTTTTTCTAAAGCTCTGGGGGTTTGAAAATTGCCAAATTGGCCATTTTCTTGGTTAAATTATGCGCGGTTTGAAGAATTTATTCATAATGCTGAGATTAAAAAGTGAATTATTTATACGTGGAGAATTATCCCGCTTAAGAAAATTGTTCCAAGTTGAATTGAGGCTAGCTAGTTGGTCGTATTAATTTCTTAAGACTCTAATTTTCACCCTTGAGTTATGATATTGTTCAAAAGTTTTAGTTCTTTAGTTCTTTCTCAAAAACTATTAGATATGGTGGGGGCAGTCAGAAATTTCATAGCTTTGCCCTGATATACGGGCATTCTTATTGCTCTGATTTTCGAAGAAAGTGCGGAATATTTATGCTTGATGTGGTTTTTTTTTCAGTCAATTTTCGACTTACTTACTATACGTTTTCGACGGAATTTTTTCAACCATCTGAGAAATAATGTTATCTTAAGCTCAAATTAAAAAAAATTACCTGTGATCATTTTTTGTAAAGTTACGGACGTTTGAAAGTTGCTAATTTTGCCAATTCGGGATAATTAAAGTGCGATATATTATGTAATTATATTATGCTTATGAAGCAAATTAACGCGATCCAAATTGAATTGAGGCCCGCAATTTAATCCGATTATCACAATACGAGACGCTAAACACACCCTTAGTTTTTCTACACAGCGCGTGTGGGAGATAAAATGAAGAAAAAATGAGAAAAAAAAGAAACTTTCATTTATTTAACAAAAAAAAACTTTTTATTTTGCTTAAGTGCAGTCGGAACATTCAAGGCTTTGCCCTGATATACAAGCAGTCTTGCTTGTATATAGCGATGTATTAAATAGACCAAATAGCAAGCCATAATTTAAATTGGAAGGATTACTAAGACGGATTAAATCTCCGCTAACGAGTTATAAGCATGAAATATATCGCGGGTTGATTGTACCAAATTGGCAATCTTTAACAACGCTTAACATTACAAAGAAAGATCACAGGTGAAATATAATTTTTTTTAATTTGAGCTTAGATCAACAATACCTTTCGAATGATATAAAATATCGTCAAAAATACTTGAAAGATTTGTTTCTACAATTAGATGGTTTTTGATTTAGGTTGAGTATGGTAAGAGATTTTCATAGCTGCAACTCAATTTTGAAAAATTGTCTGTCGTCTGCTCTCATTGATCCTTAAATTGTCAATGTAATTGAGCTCAAGTGATTGCCTTCCAGTTTTTTCTCACTTGACTTTTGTCGAAAGATCTGAAAAAACTATTCAAATGTTGTTTTGAGACAGTCTAGACAACATTCATAAAAAAAGATATTTAGTTAATCGACCTTTTTTAATCAATGAATTCCTTTCTTGACGTATTATGTTTCGGGTCTAAAAAGTTTAAGTAGATAGATATACTAATTGTCATCACTAATTAATAACTGATATCATTCTATCTGTGGCTGTCTGATTCCGATAAATTAGACGGCCTATCTAAGTACAACAGATACATGCACGTGCAATTAGTCGCATATATCCACTAGATGTACATTTTGAATGGACTGCTCTGAATTGAAATAAATGTCTATGTCCTAATTCCACCAGCTACATGCCAGACATCAATTAGAACGGACAAGCTCAGCAGTTAATTGAATTAATTAGGTTGTTTGCTTCAAACCAGATAGTGTACAAATACCAACTACACTTCAATGGGTCCAATTAGTTTCCATGTCAGGTCCTTAATTGAGACAGGCCTTGCGTTGTTTTTCCAGTTGGTTCCAATAAAGGGTCTGTTCGAACTTCCAAGTCCCCTTTTTTTTTTTACAGAATAACAACAAACGGATCTACCATATGTTGTCGCATGGTACAATACAATGCAATCCTGTTTATTTTGAATCAACTTAAACTGATAAAGACATTTGGATTAACTCTAATGCAATCGGGAATGTTTTGGTCTTGTTTTTTGATTCTTCTCAAATCCTCCTTTATTTGTGTTTGCTCTGTGTCCTACTGAGTAGGAGCTGCATGTGTTGAGTTGTTGATCTGGGACTTAATCCAACTCACCCCAAACCTAATCCCCAGAGTTGTTTGGAGGCCCAATGGGATTGCATTGTTGGTGCTAAAAACAACCCCTTTCACATTGTGGCCGCACAGAGAGACTGCCTATAAAACACTGTGCTCCTGGGGATACCTTTCATTCTGCAACAATTCCAATTAGACAATGAGCATATATTGAAAAATCAATCATTCCATTGGCAAATAGTTGGACAGAATTAATCCCAACTTGTTTTCATTCTGTTCCATTTGTATTTATTTCTTTCCCTACAATCACTTGTTTACTCACCGTACTGCCAAGATAGGAATATTATTTCTCAACATCACAAATAGGGACAAGTGATATCATTAAGTAGTAGACTAAAGTATAGCACCCTGTTGGGTCAAAAAGTGAAGCTCTGATATATGAGCAGTAACCCATAACAGGCCACACTAATTGGCACTCACAAGAATCCAGTTCGGCATATACAGCCAGCAATCTTGCCTTATCTTCCCACTTCAAAGACCTTCCTTATTTCGACGTATCCTTGCATCTTTCCAATTCCTCCCTTATAGCTGTCAAATTTACATTCAAGTATTCCGTAATCCAACATTTTTCAAAACGAGAACATCATTTTTGTTAGATCATAACTGCTTTAATTCACTACGCCAGATAGTCTACTTTAGCTGCGCGTCCTCATAAGCGTTGTTTTAACTATTGTCTAACTCTGAGTTGTGAGCTAACTGTTGTCATAATTTTTGATTAGGGTCCAAATACTTATATTTGAGTGAGTTCTTTGGGCTGCTATCCTATATTGTGCCATGAGTAGTAATTTTCCTGCAGCAGAAGCAGCAGCAGCAGAAGTTACCTCGGATGAGTGTGAAAGCATTCTCCCAATCATCACAGCCCTACCTTCTTCTCCTTCTTCTTCTTCGGAATCTCTCCTAGCCTCCAAGGGTTCTCCTACTGCAGCTGATTCACTTCCCCCGTCCACAGTAGCTGCAGTAGAGAGTAGCAACATCACTTACTACGTCCACCCCCACCCCCACCCCCACACAGTATCTGAGCAGACGGGGGGACAGGAAGAGGGAAGGGGCTGTGGGGGGAAGCAGTCAGAGATCAACTGTTCAACAGCACCACTCATCTGCCTCTACGGTGGAAAAGAAACAACAGAATCTACAGCCGACCATCACCTCACCACCTTCCTTATAAGGTAATTAAACTCATTTCGAGACACTCCTGCACAAAAACATAGTCTGTATTTCACACACGCATCTTCCAATCAACTCTTTCAGAACTTTCATGTTGTTCCCCCACCCAAAAAAGTGATGAAAAATAAAAATAAAATTTTTTGGACAACACTGATCGATATGTCTACGAAACAACAGGCTGATATCCAGCCTTGAATAAGTTCGGAAAACCAGAAAATTTGCTATTTCGGGAAAACCACAAAATTTGCAATATTAGCCAATCAGATTCGATTGCATAAATTTTTGCTCAATTTCATCATTTAAGGGGGAGTTGTCCAAAATTCTTGGGTCTGCCCTTTCTTGGTTCATTATTTCGGCTTGAAGCAAGTACGCCTTCAAAATCGAGTGTCTCTTCACTAAATACCTTGTGTTCTAAAAGCCACACTCTCTGTTGTTCAATTACGACAATCCAAACCATTCTCAATCTTACAATGGAGGAGGGTGGAGGGGGGTCATATATTATAATTAAGCTTTCGATACAACAATAATTTAACAGCATCTGAAAGCGACAGTTAACGATCAGCTGCTGCTGTTTTTGGGGCTGCTTTTTTCAGCTTTATCTCGAGCCGCCGCAAGTGAAAAAAAAAAGTCGCCGCTCTCTCAGCGGAGTCAAAAAGCCAAATAATTCACGAGCTCAAAATTCGATCTAAAATTGGAACAGAGTTGAGAAACAGTTCATTTGTCAATTAAGTCAGCACAGCTTCAAAACACAGTGAAAAGCAAATATGATTTTTTTCAGTCGAGTACATATTTAAAAATGGTCTACTTTTGGCTCCTCTGGTGTGTATATAAAGTAATGGTTTTGACCGATCGGATCAGAAACCAGAAGCAGGCTGCACTCACATGCTATTCATCAGTTATTTTTATAAGACAAGATTAGATGCGTGATTGGATTTACCAAGTCTCACAAGAATGTTCATTCATTTTACAATCACGTTTATACCACTTATTAACAATTACTTGTTTTAGCCACAACAATTCACTTCAATTCAAAAGGCAGAACATGCAGTTTTTTTCATTTGCATGGTTGTTTTGTACAATTTTTGTGAAAAATTCGTAAACCTCAAATTTATATTTGTTGATAAATTGCGGTTTTGTTTAATAAGAGATTGCAGATAGACTTAGTTTGCTATTAAACACTGGTGAGATTATTTTTGCGTCTTAAATGAGTTTGCGTCGTCTTGCCATTAATTAGTTATGAGTTATAATCCCGATTGTGACTGATTTATTGGAGTTGGAGACATGTCACAGCAGCGAGAGACTCTTAATCACATGAGCACTCAAATAGACCAGGTGTGAGAAACAGACTGGACTAATATCCTTTTTAAGAGGGGAATGGAGCTGCTTTTTAATCCCCGCCCCAGACACGCACAACAAAACATAGGCGTGAATAATAATGGAACATAATCGGGGGATTAAATTAATTGAACCTTTAAATGAACCACTACCTAGTCAACTTCAACTTCTAGTGCATTATAACACTTTTCAATATCAAATTTGCTGTTACACTTCAAACATTATTTTTATCAACTAAATTGTATATAAAAAAATCCTTTTGATTATTAATTTAATTTGTGTATTTATGCATTGAAGGAAGCAGGCCACACAAGAAGTGAGTTGTTCCATTCGAAAATCGAGGAAGAGGAAATATTGTTTGGAGGGAACGATGGACTTTGAGAACGCAGAGTCATACGCGCCCAACAAGTCCATCCAGCAACAACAACATCAACAACAACAACAACAGCAACAACAACAGTCAATCACGGCATCTTCAGCAGCAGAGTTCTCCTCTACACAGACGTTGCTGCCCCCCAATGTGCAGATTAAGAGGAAGAAGAGACCCAACTTCAGTGGCCTCCGCACCATCCAGGTCCACAGGGGTCCCAAGGGGTTCGGGTTCACCCTGTGTGGCAACGCGCCCTGTTGTCTGGACTGTGTGGTCAAAGGGTCCCAAGCGGAGGCAGCGGGACTCTCCGCCGGCCAGTACATCATGACCATCAACGGGGAGAATGTTTCCACGTCCTCGATAGAACAGGTGATTCAACTCATCATGAGCTGCAGGGGCACGTTGACTCTGAATGTGGCACGTGACGAGGACGACGACTCAGTTGTGAGTCAGGCGAATGTGCGAGTGAAGCCAAGGTCACGCCCGAGGTCATCACTCATGTCCAATCTACCCCAAACACAAACCACAGAGAGCCATGCAGGGCAAAACCCTGCCCAGAGTACTAAACAACTCGACCAAAGCCCAATTGAGCGGGCAACTGCGGAGATTCTGCAGACAGACGCGTTCAACTCCTTCTTCAATTCTGGAAGCATGGAGTCGAGTGCTGGCACGTCTGAGAGGAGTCAGAAGAACTCGCTCTCTTCCCTCCCCTCCTCTCTGAACGGCCATGCCAACAGTGGCACTAGTGGGGGAGGCACCATGAGCAGCTTCGAGTCCCTGGAGGCCCCTGGGAAATCAACGACCTCTGTGTCCACAGCCAGAACCCAAAACAACCTGCAAAGCGAGACCAGAAAGACTTCGCAGACTTCACTGCAAGCAAACTGGGAGCGGGATGTGCCAGTGAACGGGGAGAGTAAGTCATCGCTGAAAAATCTGAACAACAGCGACGACATCTGTTCAGCCGCGGAGACGGGCAGATTTTACGCAGTGGTGGGGTACATCGGCACCATAGACATCCCCCCACAGCTACAAGGTCATCAGCCTTCAATGCTCGCCTTCCTTCAGAGTTCAATTGGGAAGATGCAGTCGGAGCAGAAGACGACTTTCATGTTACTGTTGGAAATCGGCGAGAAACACGTTCGGCTAATCAACGCGAAGAACGTGACTGTTACCTGTATCGAGCTGGACGCAGTTCTCTGCTGCTTTGGGACTGCAGGTGAGACCAAACACTGCTTCGCCATTCTGGCCCAGACCAGCCCCAGTCCCCTCCACTCACCTGCCGGATCCTCGAACCAGTCCACCGGCACACCACTCATTTCTTGCATGCTACTCAGTGTCGACCCACAAATTGCACAGCATTCCGTGCACTTGAAAGCGGCAAAGAAGTTCACCATAGCCTGCAGTCGCATAACCAGTTCACTCTGCAAGGAGTTCCCCCTAAACTGCGGAGAAATAGTGAACAGGATCCAGGCAAAAGTATCCTCCAATCCTGCCAAGAATTATTTATCCGAGCTAAATCCGAACAAAGCAGAAACATTTTGTCGCACAACATCTGGCAACAGGAACAGTGCCGTTGTAGCGTGTACAGACAAAGCGTGTGAGATTTGTGCCGGGCACACAATGACATTGAACAGTAATGCATTCAGTGTTATGAAACAGAACCCACGGTCAGTTCTGAACCACTCTGTGAAGCAACAAATAATTAGAGCCCAGACCCCAGTTGAGGTGGTAGCCACTGTAGCCCCCAACCAACCACGACAAAGTGCACAGCCGTTCTCTTCACTCGAGACCCCCACCCACAGACAATCGGAGCATCGCACTTCCACTCTGCCGCCCTCAACCGGAATGACCTCCAAGTCTCAACATGTTCACGATTTTGTCTACGGGGCAACCACGTCATCGCATAGATGCCCTTCGGAAGTTGAAGAGGTAGACAGAGGTCAAAGCCTGCAGAGTGGGGGTGGGGGATACTGGCCCAGAATAGGATCGTGGGCTGCCAGTTTCGACAATCTGCTACAGGACCCTATTGGCGTGGAAATATTCAGCCAGTTCCTGAAGAAAGAGTTCGCCGAGGAAAACATTATTTTCTACCAGTACTGCCAGCAGTTCAAAAGATTGACAGACACATTCCAAATGAACGAGTTGGCAATGCGGATATTCAACCAGCACCTGACCACCGGATGTCCCCATCCAGTGAATGTAGACAACCAAGTGTTGATGAGTGTGTGTGAGAAACTGTCCAGTAATATGATCACGAAGGATCTGTTCGATGATGCGCAGCTGCAGATCTACAAACTGATGAAGTTCGACCCCTACTCCAGATTCCTCAAGTCAGAGGCTTACATCAACTGTGTCAAAACAGGGAATCCATTTGCACAGGGCAAAGCAGCAGTAGCAGCAGTCGTGGAGCCCAAAAAACTGATCACAGCGGGCAACCAGAGTATGGCATCCAGCGATGCAACCAGCGAGGACTCCAACCAACCGGACAACAAAAAGCATAATAATTTGTTCCAAAGCAAAAAGTCAATTCTTCCCTGGAAAAGGAAGCCGAAGTTATCGAGCAATGACATGTCGTCGGACTCCTCGATGAAGTCGCTTGAAAAATCCAAAGGAATATCCCAGTCGTCGGACTCGTTGCTCCTCTCTGTTCCCAGCTCGACCACCCTCGAGTGCCAGACCCAGTGCAGAGTGTACCTTCCCAATGGATGTCACGTGACCATGGACTGTGCACGGAGAGAGTCGGTGGGCTCTGCAGTGGCTGCACTCTGCAACGACTACAACCTCAAGATGAAGTGTCTGGAAATAGTGGACGGGGAACACAAGGCGATCAACACGGGAGAGACGATTGCCAACTACGGAGGACGAGAGATTTACCTGGAGCGAAGAGTCTATTTCCGAGTGGAGTTGCCGAGCAGCCAGAACATTGGGGTGAAGTCCAAACCGAACATCTCCATCAAAGACGTGTTCCAACCACTGTTGGTCAAGTACTGTCTATCTCTCAACAATCTAGTGTTGCGTCTTCACGATTCCTCCAGTCCTCTCAACCTACAACTGGCAGTGGCAGTTCTAGACTCGAAGAAAGTGGTCGCTGAAACAATCGAACAATACACGCTGCACACTTCTGAGAAAGAGAACCGATACCAACAGGCGCCCACCCAATTGCAGCAGATGGGACATCAGCGTCGGACAGAACCCAGACAATCGCAAATGAGAAGACAGTCAGACCAACCAGCCAACATCATGAGTCATCATCAACTGTATCAGAATCAAGGTCAAGTTCAGGGCAATCAAATCACTGGGCATAACTCCAGACAGCACTCACAGGGTCCCAAAGTGTGCAGAAATCTAGGCTCAAATAGCCAAGGAAGACCACAAGCTGCTGTTGCGCCATCCCAGAGAACTATAAGGCCATCAAACGAGGAGCACAACGTATACTCCAGCCACGAAACAGACGGGCATCACCACAACCACGAAACAACTTCGATGTCAAACCAGACTGACTTGAACCCCGAGCATGGACACTTGTTTGGACTGCTGGCAAAAGTTCAGGGATCGAGAATGGACAACCAGCGGGGAATCATGAGTGTGTCCAAACTGGAAATGCCATCATTCCTGGAACCAAAACAGTCCGCTGTTCCCATTCTGCACTCAACTCCAGAGAAGTACGGCAGCTGCTGTCCCTCCGCTTCCTGTCTGCACTTGTTGCACGAGACACCGCTCCAAAGTACAATGATCTACCCGCCTCAGAAGGAACAGCAGGGGGGAGGGGGAGGAGTGAACAGGAAACCGCCGAGTGGAAAACATAGGAGGGGGAGCAACTTCTCAGACCAGAGACGCCCTCTAGTTGACTCCCAGATGGTGGATGGAATGAGCAGACAAAATCCCAGATCGCTGTCCAAAATGATCACTCCCATTCCAGGCCACATGGATAACTACTACTACATCTCTGATGACTCTGCCTTCGATATAAACCCATCACAGCTTCCTTCCCCCAGTTCACAAATGTACCCTATGTCTTCAGCGGTGCCTACCAATTCCGAGGTCATCAGTCGGAGTCCACTAGACACATTCACCTCCTCAGTCTACGAAGAGGACATCTACCAAGACAACAGAATGAGGAGACCGAACACGACCAAAGTGAGCAGCATGACCAGGTCCAACAGCACGGACTGGCTGGAAAAGAGCAGCGGCAGCTACGAGTGCAGAAGAGGAGCCGCAGACTACCCAGACCACTTCGCTGCCGGCGGACAGTCCTCTCTGTATCCCTCGGGCCCAGAAGCCAGCACTTTCTCGTCCAGCACCAGCAACCAAAGACAAGCCAGCAACCTGCACTATCCTTCCACAGCCAGCAACCAGTCTTGGCAGTCCAATCCGGTCGAGGTGGCACCATATAACATAGATGACCGCCAGGGGATGAACTCACAGCGAACAGACCATCTCATGAATGACCAGCAGCACAGTTTGGTGGCACAGCCGCCTAAAATATATCACGTGTGAGCGAGTGTGGAACAAAAAGTAGCAGCTGCTCTGCAAATGACCAGAAAAAGTAAAAGCGCGTTCGCGAACATATGGACTAATAAAACTTAAAGTCAATTAAAGTTTAATTTATTCTACAGAACTAAGCTTAAAATTTAAATTGTGCAGTATATTTTTTTGTTTCAGTGTTATAAGTGGTTCCTGCTTCATCTCTCAAATCTACTAAAAAATTTTCTGTTGAAAAGTGGGATTCCTGCAGCAAAAATACTTGCACTTTGTACATTTGCGATATTTTGATAGTAGATTCTTCTTCAGTTTGTTTCAGCCCAAAACTTGCGATTAAAATTAATTTTTGATCTGAACTATTTCTTTCAAATTATTTGAAAAAATAAAAAAGACAAAAACCGGAACATTTAAAACAGTACATGAAAAAATCATTTTAAAGAGCTTTTGTAATCCCAGGTTCAGATTATTACCAAAAAAGCCAAATTGATGGGTTCCTCTATTTGACTAGTTTTGCAATGTATTTTCAAAAAAATTTTGAGTTCGACTGTTTGATTTCAGTTTCGTTTTGTTCTCGAAAGTTGTTGAACAAAAGAAAACTTCAGAAATAATTAATGAGATCAAAATCACCGAGTTTTTCTCATACAAAACTATTTGATGAACTAGTTGATTTATAATGGTGGGATGTCGAAAACTCGTGTTGGGAACAAAAGTTAATTCACAGAAAAAAGAATCATTCGGAAAAAATTCTCCCTTCAAATCTTGACTTCTACAGTTCATAATAATCAAAACACAAGTTATTTCAGCACCGATATTAAGCATGTGATCGAGTTCACATTTTGGCAAAACACGCTAGTGACAGACAAAAACCTGTCAATTAAGTTCGGCCAAGGCCATTTTATGAACTAATTCACAAAGTTAAACAAAACAAAGAAGAATTTTGCGGGTTCGAACCAAGTTAGGGAGCGTATACTTTATGTTCCGTCAAGTTCGGCTCATATTTGAGTTTTACAAAGGAAACGACCTGGGCGGTATTCGAACCTACACCGAACCCGCAAGAGCGAACTGTGTATAAGTTCGGCTTCTGTCCTAGTATTATATGCAACTACAGTTCAAACATGTATATGCAACTAGTCTTGATTTACATTTGATCAGCAACATCCTTGCCACAAAAGGGAGAGCTGGAACAATAGGGCTCCAGCTCAGTAATTGGCCCAACAGGGTTTTAACGTTTGCGGAGCAGGCGACGTTCTCTTTGTCGTAGTGCAGAGCAGTTATTTGACCTAAAGTGTAGTGCCCATAATGCTGCTTGGATCGACAATCCAGACGAGATCACCATTACATAAGCTTGTGTTCTCCCATAGCGCTTTCGGTGGTCAAATTTTTCCAACACGACCAACAGGCGTTATTAGACGGGTATTTAATGATTGCTCCACTAAACAAAACGTGGTCGACAATACCTCATCCTTTAACTTGCGAGTACCAATGGATGCGTAGAAAACACGCTTGAAACTGCGAACTAACCTTTCCCAAGACCCAACATTGAGCGGCGGGCTAGAGGGTTATATTTTCATTTTATCCGATTATGCACTAACAGCCTGTCTGTTCCAACTGGGAGCCTGTCTGTTTTTTCACAAAGGCAAGTTCAGTTTTTTGAGTCTCAATCAACTTGGCACGACAGAAAGCGACCCTGCGAAACACATCTTGAGAGATATACTCAAACATATGGAGCTCACATTGATCAAATTCGTTACTTACCTATCGCCGCTGAAGTACTATTTATCAAGGCAAACTTGTTTGAATGCCACTCAATGAATCGCTTTCGGAGCGCTTCTGGTAGGAGATTGTCCTATTATTTCCCAGTTACACGCCAAATGTCTTTTTGAAGCTTTGAAGCAAGCGAGCCCTTGTCGTGAAGGGAGCCACCAAACCAAAAGGGTCGAAGACCGATGAAATAAAACTGAGAACAGTTTCTTACGTCACGGATGCTTGGAGGTCGCAGTTAACCCCACGACTAGCAACGAGAGAGTCAATTCCATGGTTCCACTTTAGCCCTAACTGATGAGAACTCAAATTTTCCAATCGCGATGTCCTTCATTTTTACAGTTACACCAACTGAAGTTGAAGGGTTTTTAAATGTTCATAACAAACTTGGTAAAACGGATTCTCCACAATTTCAGGAGGATCACCAGATCCTTGCTTCTTCATTGCGTGATTGTATTTTTCGAATGAAACCGAGTAACCATCCTTGTAGAAGTAGAAAGTACTGCTTTAAATGCTTTAGGAAAACATTCATTGTTATCCATGGCGGTTTGCTGAAGTGCGAAATTCGCGCACGTCGTTGAGACACGAGCACCGAAAATATACCGGGTGTACAGAAAAGATTTTACATCCGAGGTGGCATCCTTGCGCCACAAAAAGCGCAAAGAGGGTTCATCACGAGGGGGTACAAAATAATGAAGAAACGTAGCCTCGATGACATTGGACTGATTTATAATGGTGGGATGTCGAAAACTCGTGTTGGGAACAAAAGTTAATTCACAGAAAAAAGAATCATTCGAAAAAATTCTCCCTTCAAATCTTGACTTTCTACAGTTCATAATAATCAAAACACAAGTTATTTCAGCACCGATATTTACCATGTGATCGAGTTCACATTTTGGCAAAACACGCTAGTGACAGACAAAAACCTGTCAATTAAGTTCGGCCAAGGCCATTTTATGAACTAATTCACAAAGTTAAACAAAACAAAGAAGAATTTTGCGGGTTCGAACCAAGTTAGGGAGCGTATACTTTATGTTCCGTCAAGTTCGGCTCATATTTGAGTTTTACAAAGGAAACGACCTGGGCGGTATTCGAACCTACACCGAACCCGCAAGAGCGAACTGTGTATAAGTTCGGCTTCTGTCCTAGTATTATATGCAACTACAGTTCAAACATGTATATGCAACTAGTCTTGATTTACATTTGATCAGCAACATCCTTGCCACAAAAGGGAGAGCTGGAACAATAGGGCTCCAGCTCAGTAATTGGCCCAACAGGGTTTTAACGTTTGCGGAGCAGGCGACGTTCTCTTTGTCGTAGTGCAGAGCAGTTATTTGACCTAAAGTGTAGTGCCCATAATGCTGCTTGGATCGACAATCCAGACGAGATCACCATTACATAAGCTTGTGTTCTCCCATAGCGCTTTCGGTGGTCAAATTTTTCCAACACGACCAACAGGCGTTATTAGACGGGTATTTAATGATTGCTCCACTAAACAAAACGTGGTCGACAATACCTCATCCTTTAACTTGCGAGTACCAATGGATGCGTAGAAAACACGCTTGAAACTGCGAACTAACCTTTCCCAAGACCCAACATTGAGCGGCGGGCTAGAGGGTTATATTTTCATTTTATCCGATTATGCACTAACAGCCTGTCTGTTCCAACTGGGAGCCTGTCTGTTTTTTCACAAAGGCAAGTTCAGTTTTTTGAGTCTCAATCAACTTGGCACGACAGAAAGCGACCCTGCGAAACACATCTTGAGAGATATACTCAAACATATGGAGCTCACATTGATCAAATTGGTTACTTACCTATCGCCGCTGAAGTACTATTTATCAAGGCAAACTTGTTTGAATGCCACTCAATGAATCGCTTTCGGAGCGCTTCTGGTAGGAGATTGTCCCATTATTTCCCAGTTATACGCCAAATGTCTTTTTGAAGCTTTGAAGCAAGCGAGCCCTTGTCGTGAAGGGAGCCACCAAACCAAAAGGGTCGAAGACCGATGAAATAAAACTGAGAACAGTTTCTTACGTCACGGATGCTTGGAGGTCGCAGTTAACCCCACGACTAGCAACGAGAGAGTCAATTCCATGGTTCCACTTTAGCCCTAACTGATGAAAACTCAAATTTTCCAATCGCGATGTCCTTCATTTTTACAGTTACACCAACTGAAGTTGAAGGGTTTTTAAATGTTCATAACAAACTTGGTAAAACGGATTCTCCACAATTTCAGGAGGATCACCAGATCCTTGCTTCTTCATTGCGTGATTGTATTTTTCGAATGAAACCGAGTAACCATCCTTGTAGAAGTAGAAAGTACTGCTTTGAATGCTTTAGGAAAACATTCATTGTTATCCATGGCGGTTTGCTGAAGTGCGAAATTCGCGCACGTCGTTGAGACACGAGCACCGAAAATATACCGGGTGTACAGAAAAGATTTTACATCCGAGGTGGCATCCTTGCGCCACAAAAAGCGCAAAGAGGGTTCATCACGAGGGCGTACAAAATAATGAAGAAACGTAGCCTCGATGACATTGGACTGATGTTGGCGGAGTTTTTTTTGCAGTACATTAGGCCCAACGAACAAAGACTTGTTTAAAGATTGACCGTGAAACTTTGACGCACCATTTGAAAATCGACAGACCATACCTAACTAGTTTGGGTTGCGGAGGGGATGGTGGGTTAAATTCCATTCGCGAGCGGAGCGGAGTTGCGGATCGTGCAGTTTAACCGGAAGGACATAACTTTTACCAAGGTCCTCTTTTTTTCTCTTTGTAATTACTTTTCAAACCACTATTTTTGTCAAGCCTTTATTGAAGAGTAAAAACTGTGCCAAGAATTGCTATCATTGGCTCATAAAATTCATACCCAGTATCTTTCATCATCTTGGTGTGTTGTTGATTAAAGAAGCTGATGCGCTCGCTGATTGGCTGCAGATTGCGCATAAGCTTGCTTGTGTGTACCATACCACGCTTCAACCTGACTTAAACTCTTCACGTCTTCAGCATTCCACTTGAATTATGTTGATAACCAGCCAGACAATGAGGAGAGTGCGCAACTCAAAACCCATCCTATCGACAGACAAACAGAAAATTCCGATTTGTATTATGAACACATACTAGTGGGAGTGTGTGGTGAGAAAAGTCCGGAGCAATTACCATTTCGATGTCCGAAAAGCTATACCGAACTGTTTTTATATGTTTCAAGTAATTTGAAGGGTTGGAACATCAACCTTTTGTGAACCAACATCAATCACATCCTTCACGTTGGCGGCTAATTTGAAGTTATAATCAAAGTACTTCATACTAGCAGATTGATTGAATTCGACTATCTCAGTCAAAAAATTATCCGTTGAATTGAAACTATTTAAGACCAAATCAACTTTTTCCCGGGCCAAGCTTGCAGAACGCCAGGAGTGATTGCTCGCCGAATCTTACAAAACAAGATTTTCGAAAGTTTGAAACATTTAATTCAATAACCTGGAGAAAACCTTTTAGGTCCTGCACGGAGGGGCAACAAGATCAAGTTGATTTTTCAGTCGGAGTTTTT